TCTCTGATGTCATTGTCAGCTGCTCCTCTTCCAGCCCTCCACATTCCTGTGCAAACCACCTGCTGCTACGCCCACTCAGGCTTCCTCACCTCCCTCTTCTCCTATCTGTCCTGGACTCAGCTCCCTCCCTACGGAGGAGGCAGAGTAAGAACTGGCTTCTGGTGGCCACCTGGCACTCAGGGTACACCCTGAGTAGGGCCTCACACGCGCTGCATCACAGCACCTGCACACCTGTTTCGCCAAGGCCTCTGTGCAGCCAGGGCCCGTGTCATTCATCTTTGCACCTCCAGAGCCAAACACAGCTCTTGGTCCACGGTGACTGCTGCACATACACTTGAGAGATAAATGAGTTTCAGTTCCCACTAAGCTGAATACATACATACATATATAGATATAGGTACATATTTTGGTCAGATAACCATCAATTTATCATCATGCCTATATCTCTAAATTCCATTTTACCCTCATGTTTAGGGGGGGAAAGCCCAGTTACACAAGCTTGGTGTGTAGGGAGAGGGTGGCAGGACGGTTTCTACAGAAACCATCAAAACAGCATTTGCATTTTGACCTTGTCTTTATCACGTGACAGGAGCCCCCTCCCCTCCAGCACACTACGTACCACCTCCATTCTTAAAAGTCCTGCAGATTCGCCAACCCTGGACGGGCATTCAGAACTGTCACCTGGGGAGACACGCACACTTAACCTCTCCAGAAGGAGTCTGGGCATCTACAGAGTAAAACGCCACGCGGGGATGGCGCGTGCTGATGTTCGTTTCGCTGAAGCCTCCTGGCCCGGGGCGATGCCAGCCAGGCCACGTCCACTCCCCGGTGCCTTGGGCGAGAGCCTTCGTGCCCACATGTACACCCTGTCATCCAACTGTACGGCTCCCTGAGCACTGCCATAGCCCTTTTCTAAATCTGCATTCACCTCTGTAATTTGTAGATAACATTTCAACAATTTCAAGTTGGTAGCTTAATGATTCTAATGCCATTCTCTTAAGATGACATTTTTTTTTTTTTAATGATCTATCTTTCTCCAACTCACCATCTCGTTTTCCCCCCCTCTCTGGTATTACTTTCGACAGGCAAACTTTGATTATTCGAATGCCCCAGGGGATGTGCTGAAATTTAAGTTAAGTGAGATTTCAGGTAATTGGAAGAGTTTATAATGTGAACTATAGTAGCTGGGGGGTACGAGAAATCCACTGACAGTCTTGGTTAACTGAAGTCTTGAATAGCGAAGGTTTGGCTGAATATCTGTTTCAATCCTTTCACTCCTCTTATTTCTCCTTTCCTCCTCCTTCCCATCTTCTCAGTCTCTATACCCTCTACCAAGTATGCCCCTGCCCCTTGCAAGCCTATAAAGATGAGGAGGAAACACAGGAAAAAAGATTGGCTTTCCTTCCCATTGGTCATAATGGGCTAGGAAACCATCTCATCGTTTGCTGAAGACAGCAAATGTTTCCGAAAATCGTCGCTTGCCTAGAGTGCGTCTGCTCTGTCCCGGTACTAGGCTGATCTGACCTTGCCTCAGGCCGAGATGCTGACAGCGGGGCTTGCAGTTCTGGTTTCTTTCCGAGATCATGTGCTCAGGAGAGAGCACTAAAATTACCCACGCACCTGAGGCTCTCCCTTTGCCATCGGGCTGCCAGGGGCCTGGGCTACGCCGGACACAGGCGGCAGCCGGCCTCACCCACCCTCACATAACTGCGATTACATGTTACAACACAAAACAGCCACGTATGGAATGTAAGGACAGAGTCGCTGGTTACTTCACTATAGGATAATAATTCAATTCAGTTGCAGAGAGCTTTTCTTGTGGGCTGAGTAGCAGTAAAAAGTCAGCAAAGCATGTACAACATTTTGGTCAGACTGACTTTAAAAGCTGTAAAATTGCTGTGGTTCATCTTGCCTTTGTCTCAAAAGGAAAACATTAAAAAAAAAACCCTAAAGCCCCTACTACAGATGAGCTGCAGTGCCCCTCGCATATCTGCCCGCTCTTAACTCCGATGACACACACCGAGTGGCAGAGGAGACCTGTGACAGAGAGTCCGCCGTGTGGACGCGGCACTGAGACGGTTAAGGGGTGGCATCTGCACAGCCAGAATCGATCCCTCCACTGACCTTTAACAAAAGGGAATTCTGGAGCTACAGACAGGAAGGCATCATTCTCAGAAGCATCGTGGCACCTGGGATTGAGAGTGAAGTCACGTGCATTTCCTCCCCATCGCCTACCATGGGGACCACGAGAAGCCTCTCAGCTACTCTGTGCTTATGTTCTCTGTTTGATAAATGATGATAGGAATAACCACCAGCATTTTGGAGCCTACTCAATGCCCACAGTAAAGATTCAGCATTTCACACATTTAGATCATTAATCCTCATCACAACCCCCAAAAGTAGACATCACTATCCCCTTTTATAGATAAAGAAACTGAGGCTCTGAGGTTTAAAAAAAAAAAAAAAAACTAACATTATGCAGCTTATAAGAAGCAAAGATGGGATTTGAACTCAGGTCCATCCCACATCCTTTCCGCCACAGCACCCTGCTCACTCACAGGAGAGTTGGAAGAATTCTATAAAATAACACATGTAAGAAAAAAAGCACTCAATAAATTCTAAAGGCTCTAATCTCATTAGCACAGTAATCAAAAGAACTGTGTCTGTCCCATTCAAAGGCAGAAAACAATCTCCATTCCTAAGTCTGTCAGCAGACCTTGCCTTCTGAAAAATATTATCCCCCTGCTGGGATGAACAGTCCCGTAAGAGGGCCAGGGTGCTCAGGTTGGAGATTCAAGTCAAGATGGAGCATGTGTGAGAACAGTCCCTGGCTCCCATCGCTCCGATACTCGAGTCAGGTGCAGATACTCTACAGCAAGGACGTGTTCCACCCTAGTCTGCCCTAAAAGGCAGTCATCTGCAGACTCGAGTTCTTGAAATTAGCCATGCAAATCCATCACCACTTTAATTATCCAAGTAAATAGAACTCTTACCGCCATCTGCCAAGATTTCAACCTATCATGATCATTATAGTCGCTCTCTTTGGATGAGAACCTCGCAGTCATCACTAAAGGGCCACTTGGGCCCCGAATTTCCGCCTATGGGATGAAGGTCTCCCCAGCCAAAGCCTGTTGCTGGGAGCTGTTTTCTTCCTCTCTCTACGACTTGCTCATATTTTTTTGAGCACTGTTAATTTGCTCCTACACTTCATCTTTGTCGTTCTTATTTTCTTTCCACCAACTCCAGGTACTACTGATTGGTGAGAAATTTCCCTCAACAAGAACTGTCAGTTCAGAACTCAGCCCCACAGCAAAAAGTCAGGTGGAGATTTATTCTGGGACACGGGTGGGTGTGCAATCCTGGTGATTCAAATCACTGGAGTTTTCAGAGGACAAACTAAATTGCAAACCCTTCTTAAGGTGGGGACTCCATCCAGATCTGTTTCTCTGGCCGATAACTGGGTGAATGGGTTGATTATGTTAGCAAAAGGCTCCCGTGGGTGACCTGAGTTAATTATGGCTTTCAGGGAAGACTGAAAAATCCTCATTGGCTACAAATTGCCAGTGGACTGCAAGCCAATACGGGGCATAATTTTACTTGCTTTCCTTGACAGTCTATTTTCCACTACCATCACCACCTCCATCATCACCATTGATCAGGAGAGCATTTAAATGACAATAAAATGCATTTTTTGGTTTACTCTTCTGAATGCACAGCCACAGGACCTGATATTGAACAAAATATTTCTTTTGGAGAAGTGCAGAGACACCACTGATTCAGGTAACATCAAGGTTTGGGCATTTCTATTTCAGTAAAGAAAATTCAATAATAATCAGGATCACCATAAATTGTAAAATCAAAATAGATTGCTAAATATATGACCATTCTGACCATTCCAGAATGAGATGAAATTCAAAGGCCTCTGCCTTCAAAAGATATGCAACAATTAGAACTGATAAACAAAATTATTAAAGTTGCAGGATACAAAATCAATGTACAAAAATCAGTAGCATAACTATATGCCAACAGCTGACAATCTGAAAAAGTAACTAAGAAAATAATCCCATTTACAATAGCCACAAATAAATTAAAATACCTAGGAATAAACTCAACCAAAGAAGTGAAAGATCTCTACAATGAAAATATAAAACATTGATGAAAGAAATTGAAGATGACACAAAAAAATGGAAAGATATTCCATGCTCATAGATTGGAAGAATCAATATTGTTCAAATGTTCATACTACCCAAAGCAATCTACAGATTCAACGCAATCCCCATCAAAATACCAATGAAATTCTTCACAGAAATAGAAAAAGTAATCCTAAAATTTATATGGAATCACAAAAGGCCTAGAATAGCCAAAGCTTCCTGATCAAAAAGTATAAAATTGGAGGAATCATATTATCAGACTTCAAATTATACTACAGAGCCGTTGTAACCAAAACAGTATGATACTGGCATAAAAACAGACACATAGACCAATGAAACAGAATAAAGAAACCAGAAGTAAATTCACACACCTATAGTGAACTTATCTTTGATCACAATGCCAAGAACACACAGTAGGGAAAGGACAGTCTCTTCAATAAATGGTTTTGGGAAAACTGGATATCCATATGCAGAAGAATAAAACTAGACCTCTATCTCTCGCCATATACAAAAACCAAATCAAAATGGATTAAAGACTTACATCTAAGACCTGAAACTATGAAACTATTGGAAGAAGACATTTGGGAAATACTCTGGACATCTGGGCAATGATTTCTTGAGTAATACCTCAAAAGGTGTTTCTTGAATAATGCCTGAACTGAATCTTACATTAAAAATGTTGGAACACCACAAATGGAAACCTAATATAACTTTCATGCCATTAGCAACAATAGTAAGTGCAGTAATAGTGGTAGCAAAATAACCAAGACCTAAACCGAGAGAAGGTGAAGAGAGGAAGCTTTCCAAAGGCACAGGGTTAATGCATATGTGAGGAAGACTCAGTTGTTCAGCAGGTGGGCACTTGTGGGAGATGCGTGGATCTCTTCTCCTCCTTGTCAATGTCTTCACGAGGGATTCCAGCGATCAACACAGCTAGTCTCCTTGCTCACCAATATCATCTTAAAAGGACATGACTCTAAAACTCAGGTGTTTAAATCGTCCGATGAATTTCTCTCCTCTTTTAAAAATGAAATTTTAAAACGCGGTTGAGGAACAGGACAAACTAGCACCCTAGAATTTGCTCTCCTGTTAGCACCTTCCCTGAACATACTAGCATGTGAGATGCCATTTCAAACATACACAGGAATGGTTATTAGAACACTCAGCACAACACAGCTGTATTCAAAGAAACTAAGTAAGCCATGGAAAACACAGGCAGGCCTTGGGGAAAATAACAAAACAAAACAAAAACCAGGACAATCTCAAAGTCACCGCAGCCTATTCTAGAGCTAAATAGAACCTCTGACGTCAGACATCTGGGCTCCTTAATAGGGGGAAATAGTACAATAAGTATTTCTAAGACATAGGCTTAAAGTGCAAAAACTGTTTGTTGATACAGCGGAATCCTATGCTGTGTTATGACTGATGTTGACGACAATGATGATGATGATGATGATGATGATGATGACAATGATGGTGATGAGTCAGTGATGTGGAAACTATTCACTACTTGTTGCTGAGTAGGAACAAGAACAAGTTATAAAACAGCATACGGTAACAAACGTTAGAATAATGATTACCTCTGGGCATGAGGCAGGAGGGGCATCTTGACAGAGAAGGGCACAAGAAGCCTTCTGGGAAGCTCGGAATGTTCTAGATCTTGATCTGAGTGGTGTTTACACAGGTGTGTACACATGTAAAAATGCATTCATCTGTCCACTTAAAATGTGTGCATTCACCGTATGTGTGTTAGCCTTGATACAATTGAAAAGAATAAAATAGCATATACTACATACTCTTTCAGAAATGAGGGCATGAAAAAGTGAAAGATTATACACTAAAGTGTTAATAGCAGGCAGCTCTGGGTACTGAAATTGCAGGTGGCTTTTTTTCTTTTGAAGGTATCTGTATTTTTCTAAATTTGGAGGGTGCAGTGAATTTACATTACTCAATAAAGTTAAAAATCCACCATGACCCAAAGTATTTACCATCTCTAGATAATACCTTCAGTCATTCACTTTTCTTCCCAAAGCTTCCCTCATCCCCGGATTCAGGCTGTGCGGGCGACATGGTGGGGGTGAAGCGTGGTGGGGCGAGGTGAATCCTGGGAGTTTCTAGATTCTCTCACTCCCTAGGGTGGGGTCACTTGGTGTACCTGCCTTCAATCTTCCACAGCAGAGGGGGCTCTCTGGCCAGCCCTTTGGGACAGTCACATCTGTGGTCTCCTGACCTCACTGTTGCTCAACTTCCAGCCTAGACCGAAGTGTGGACAGGAATCTGGAACCAGACCCCCAAAGTCTCCTTTCAGCTCATGTTCTTGGGTTTAGAACGGGGTCAGCTGGAGGCAGAAGTGGGGGAAGATGTCCCGCAGCACGGGAGGGCTGCCCGCTGTGGTCTGGACGAGAGCGTGCAGAGGACCTGCCTCCAAGGCTCGCGGCACAAATGCGTGATTCAGCGGGAAAAACACCTGACTGCAAGTTAACACCTCGCTCTACGCACTCGCTTCTTGCTGAGTGACCATAGACAAGGACACTGAATTTCTGAGCATTTCATAAACGCTCTGATTTCCCATTTCTTCGTCTATAAAACGAGGACATTACCACCTGCTCAGTCTAACCGACAGGCAGTTACAAAGATTCTATACGGAAACAGAGAGGAAAGTGACAACGTCCTGTTGGATTATGCACCCCAACTTTTGGCAGAGTGCCCGGGACACAGTAAATCCTCTTAAATATCAGTTGAAGAAAGACAAATGTAGGGAATTATTTGTATTATCATTTCTCATGATGAGAAGACCATAGGGACCAAAGAAATTACATAACTTCTTTTCACGAGAGTCAACCTTGGGTGCCCAATAACCTTTGCAGCAAGCTTAAATTCTAGTGGAGCACAATTAACGCCTGGTGTACGTTCAGACACACTCTGATAGAGGTCACATCCCAGTATTGAAAGTAGCTCTTTATAACCAAATGACTTCCCACCCGCAGCCTCTGCCTGGCTTTTTGCAAGCAATATATCTGATACAATAAAATTCCAGTCCAGAAGGAAGGAAGGGAAAGAAGGGAGGGAGGAAGGAATTGACTTACAGTAAGTTCATAAATCCCTTCGAGCTTATTAAAAGGTGATTTGACTTACTACCTTTAAATGATCACAATCTATATTTTGAAAGTCAGAAGGGCTGTGGGATAAAAATGGATATAAGAGGACTTTGGGGAAAGAAACAGATGAGAATGTTGTTCAGACCAAAAAAAAATAAAAGGATGTCCTTGTGTTAATTCAGTCGTTTTTCAATTCAAGTATTAACTGAGAACCGGTAGGTGTGTCATCAATTTTAGTCTGTTCACCGCGTGCAGGACATTGCGCTGGGCACAATGGGAGACTCAAAGATGAACTGGCCTGTTCCTGCTCGGCACAGACACAAGTAATTCCAACCTAAGGCGGCCAGGGAGACACGTGGTCAGAGAGGCACGGCTAGATGCCACCGGCTGGCAGACGGGGAAGGGAGCTTTCAGTTGGGGGAGTGAGGCAGTCGTGACTGAGCCTGGAAACAGAAGGCGACATTAAGAGACCCTGAGTTCCAGGAGGGCGTGGCCTGGGCAAGGGCGGGGGCGGGGGTGTGGAATGGGGAAGCAAGGGCTTCAGACAGAGAACTGGAAAAGGCTGGGTTTGCCAGGAGCACAGCATGTGCTCGAAGGAGAAAGGCAAAGTGAGGCTGGAAAGTCTGGTTTGGATGAAAGTAAGAAAGGCCTGAAATGACAGCAGAGTTGGGGCCAAAGTGAGAGCCGATGGGTGGAGGGTCTCTGAGCAAGGAAGGATCACAGTCAGAGCTTTGCTCTTAGATACTAGATATCACAGGTCGTGATGGATGGTGTGCAAAGGTGGAAAGAGACGCAGGAGGTAGGGAGAGAGGGCTGTGCCTTCTCATAACCTCTGAAATCTGCTTAATAAGAGGCTTATTCAAAACCCCAGAAAACAAGCAAAGTGAAGTGGTCAGCAGATGCTCTGCAGATGAGGGAGGGGGGTGAACGGGGAGGGCCAGAACAGTGTGGGCCTGAGATGGGACTCAGGACAACAAGAGGGGTACGAAGTGAGAAGGTGACTAGGAGGGTCTTGGAAGAGCCGGCGCAAACAGAAGTTGCTTGGGAGAGACGGAGCAGCCTGTGAACTCACTGGCAAGTCTGGCAAAGCTGGAGACTGTGGGGAAGGAAGAAAAGGTTACAGATTGACCCCAGCAGCACTCACCGGGCTGGAGCAAATTAAAAAGCAAATTGGAACTGGCTAGAGGAAGAGAGTCCCATTCCTGCCACCTCCAATATTGCCGTGGTCGTGGGGTCTGCAGATGGCAGAGCAAGCAGGCACAGCAATCTGCGCCTCATCAGTATGATTTTTCAATGGCATCATGTTGACAGCCGGCACCTGACACACCGCCTCCCTCTGCAGAAGCTTCTCTGAAGCCTGGCGCAGGGTTTTCCTAAAGCCCAGGCAAGGAAAGCAGCACCGCCTGGGCTGCAGAGGGTTGGGAGCTTTAAAACCCACTTTCACACACATCATCTCACTTTATCTCCATCTTAACTGACAGCCGCAGGCAGGTATTGTTCTCCTCTCTGCATAAAGTCCAGAGAAAATGAGGTTTTGGAGAAGTCAGGAGATTAGTCCAAGGCCAGGTAGCTACCTACTGGTGAAGCTCGATGACTCACACAGCCACTGCAGCCCGAGCTGGGACTCTGGCCAGGACACTGGACATGTGCTGGGGCCATTTGGACACTCTCAGCTCCTTCGGGCCATGGTCAGCCTGGGGGAGAG